GAACTCCTTTAGCTTTTTCTTATCCGTGAAGCTCTTTATCTGACCTTCTATTCTGAATGATAGCTTTGCTGGATAAAGTAATCTTGGTTGCAGGTTCTTGCTATTCATCACTTTGAATATTTCTTGCCAGTCTCTTCTGGCCTGCATGGTTTCTGTTGAGAAATCAGCTGACAGTCGTATGGGTACTCCCTTGTAGGTAACTGACTGTCTTTCTCAGTTAAATATTTCTGTATCTTCTAACATGTCATAGTACACAAATGTAAGATTAAAGGTGTGTGAAAAGTGTTTTTCATTTGATAATTAAGACAAATATATTTTTAACTAAGTTCCAAAACTGTACCAATAAGAGAAATGGAGTTTTAAAAAATTCAAGTAACCAAAAACATAATATGTGGTCCATAAAAAATGCCTAATAAATACTTGTGAATGAAAAAATGAATAAAAATATTTTATTGCTTTTAGGCTTCAAGTTGCCTCATAGTCCTTGAATTCATATTTTATAAGCAATCATAATATATACGTATAATTTACTTTGCTTTTGGCACATGAGTTATAGGGTCAACATTTTTCCATGTTGTTATAAAATATGACTATAATCTTTTAAAGTACCTATTGAAGTTATAACACTTCTGAATCAGATCACAAATGACTGTTAACAGGGGTAAATCGAGGTTTGGGGGACTCTTACTGAGGAAAAAAATTACAAAAGTGTTACTTGAAAACATTTTAGGAATATATCCTAAGAAGTTGGAAATACCAATCAGAAAGAATATATGCACCCCTATGTTCATAGCAGCACAATTTACAATAGTTAAGATTTGGAAACTGCCCAAGTGCCCATCAGCAGATGAGTGGATAAAACAACTGTGGTACATCTACACAATGGAATACTACGCAGTTATTTTTTTTTTAAAAAAAGAACTCTTACATTTGCAACAGCATGGATGGACCTGGAGAGTATTATGCTAAGCAAAATAAGCCAGTCAGGGAAAGATTAAGTAGCACAAAATCTCACTCACATGTGGAATCTAATGAACAAAATAGATCCAGAGACATGGAAGCATGAAACAAACTGTCCAACCTCAGAGGGAAGGTGGGGGAGGGTGGATGGGTAGCAAGAGACCAACCAAAGAACTTGCATACATATATGCATAACCCATGGGCATAGACAATAGGGTGGTGAAGGCCTGGAGTGGGGGACGAGGTAGAAGAGGTCAACGGAGGAAAAAGGGAGACATGTGTAATACTTTCAACAATAAAGATTAAAAAAAAAAAAGAAATGGAAAAATTTTTTACACAATAATGAAAAAATATCTAGGTCTTTCAAAAGGCCATTTCTAGAGCCCCTCCAGGTTCTTGGAGGGTCCTGTGCATTTAGGAGCCCTGAATCTTCAATAGCTTCACAGTACATCTGCCTCTGTTAATAACCAGATACTATCTTCATGGTGGTTATGATATAGCTTGAATGTTTTTTAGAGGTCTACTAAAATTTTAGAAAAGTACATCACACTTCAATAGTGTTAGAAATTCTTTCTATCCAACCGACCTGGAATCTTTTTCAGGCCCCATATAAATTTGGTGGCTTTTAAATTATAAGCCACCTAACTTCTTCAGGCCTCAAATTATTCATCTGTCGAATGGGCTTAATAGCCATCTCAAAGAATAATAAATGAAGACAAAGATAAAATACTTGCTGTAATTCTGGACAAAGAGTAAATAAATGCTCAATAAGTATTCACTATTATGATTACAGCAATAGTTAAAACATTAACCTACCATATATAGGAACCTCCTAACTCCCCATTATAACTTCCCACATTGACTGTAGGTGTAAAATGATTTTCAAAGCATTGTGCAGATTCAATTTTTTATTTTAATTTTTTAAAAATAATGTTATTCTGCCCCTAGCTGGTTTGGCTCAGTGGATAGAGCGTCGATCTGCGGACTCAAGGGTCCCAGGTTCAATTCCAGTCAAGGGCATATACCTTGGTTGCAGGCACATCCCCAGTAGGGAGTGTGCAGGAGGCAGCTGATCGATGTTTCTCTCTCATCGATGTTTCTAACTCTCTATTCCTCTCCCTTTCTCTCTGTAAAAAAATCAATAAGATATATTTAAAAAAATGTTATTCTGAAAGGTAATACTTACCTAGAACAGAACATTTGGCAAATAGAGGAGAAGAAAAAAGCACCCATAATTTCACCAGACTCATGTTATATTTCCATGTTGCATTTTTTCCTTTATGCAGATTTAATTTTATCAAAATATGCTTAAAGTAAGTAGACCCAATTATTCTCTTCTCACAGAGGTTTGATATTATGGCATTATTATTTTTAAATACATGGCAAATCTCAAAAATGTTTTATATAAAACTATTTTAGAAAAACAGATGAAACAGTACACATTCTACTGTTGTATTTTCATATTTATTAAAAATTCTTATTTTTACAAGCTTATGATCCTAGTGTACATAGAATTTAGTACCATTTTTTCTTACATTATATCAAAAGCTTTTCTCCATACTACTCCATTACTACTAACTAGAGCATTTGAGAACAAGGCTTAGTTTCCTAAACTTTATACAACTGCATGTGAAGAACCTAAGGCAAGCTAAGGTGTGATAAGTCAGAAACTCAGAATGAGTGCTCTTGGTTTGCCTGAAATTATAATAGAGAAAATGTAAAAAGAGAAATTAGAACTCAGGAATTCTTGCCTTCCAACTAAATGTATAAATCAGCAAAAGAATATAAAGCATTATCAATGCTATATACACTTTTATTTCTCCTTTAGTAGATGGAAAGTGGTGGCATACTATTCAATGGCAAAGACTTATTTGTGACAATATATTGGGACTTTATTGGGGCTTTAGCTCTCAAAACTGGGTAAACATACTCCTGCTACAAAGGGGTCTTTCTTTAAAAATTAGCAAAGCAATGTGAAACCTCAACATATTGAACAGGTCACAGTCTGGTCATGGTTATCTGGATTCGGTGACATTTGCTTTTGGAAATAGGCTTTTACCTTTTAATTACACTATTGTGTTGACCTTCATTGATTTTAGTCCACAAACTCTTCCTTTAAGCGTCTTTGTTCCTTTTTTTTTTTTTTAATATATTTTATTGATTTTTTACAGAGAGGAAGGGAGAGAGATAGAGAGTTAGAAACATCGATGAGAGAGAAACATCGATCAGCTGCCTCCTGCACATCTCCTGCTGGGGATGTGCCCGCAACCCAGGTACATGCCCTTGACCGGAATCGAACCTGGGACCCTTGAATCCGCAGGCCGAGGCTCTATCCACTAAGCCAAACCGGTTTTGGCGTCTTTGTTCCTTTAATGATGTCCTGCTGTAAGAATTCAAGCCACATTAAAAAAATTATAAAGTATACATTGAGGAAACAATTCATGTGTCCATTCTGAATGTATGTATACACAAAATGTAGCATATACATGCAATGGAATATTATTCAGCCTTGCAAAGGAAGGAAATTCTGATACAACATGGATGAACCTTGAAGACATTATGCTAAGTGAAATAAGTCAGACACAAAAGGACAAATATTGCATGATTCTGCATGTATGAGGTATCAGAGAGACAGAAAAAAGAATAGAAGATACCAGGGTATTGGAGGTAGGAGGGAAAGGGAGTTATTGTTTAATGGGCACAGAATTTCAATGTGAATGATGAGATACTTCTGGGGATGGACAGTGGTGATAGTTGCACAACAATGTGAATGTACTTTCTGTTGTTGAACTAAAAATGGTTACAATGGTAAATTAAATACCTCAATATAACATTTACTTTAAAGTATAATATACACACGTACATATCCAGTTTAAGAACTATATTCAGGAGTGGTAAAACGAGGTTAATAATAAATACAAGAACAAATAAATAATACAAGAATAAACTTTGTTTCCACCATATTCACAACTGTAAACCTACTTGTGCCAATCCCTGTATAATCACCACTTAGGTCAAAAAATGAAATACTATCACAGGGTATCCCTCTCCATCCTAACCCTTTTCTTCCTTACTGAGTAACTACTATCCTGACGATAACATTTGCTTTTAAAAATTAGGCTGTGATGTGATAATGCTGGGTAAGTTAAATTGACACTACAAAATGCAATGGAGTCTTTAAATGCCAATATTTCCCATAAGTGCAAAATTTATTTTCAAAACTTAATAACTTTTAAAGTACTCTTTTCCTTCTTTCACTCTTGAAACTCTTTATAGTCTAAATCTAAAACCTATCTTGGTCCCACAGTTGACCTCACCTGCAGAGTTAAAAAACACACACCACAACTAATTCTGTGTGGATTTTAGATTTTTATCCCTCCCGCTCTCTATTGCCTCCAACTACAAAGAAACAGTGATTTAAACCCTTTGTGCCCTTTTAGAAAATTACACAGATACCCCATTGTGGAACCTTATAATCCCTTCGTGGAAAGGAAGAGATTAGCATATGAATATAAACTAAAATTAATCCAGAATACAAAACGCTCTGCCGATTGTGAAGCTCTGGTAATCTTAAAAATGTACTTATTTCCTCTTTTTTGTATTGTCCCTTTATTGGTCTCAGGGTGAAGGAACGGAACTGAGCTTCCCCTCTGGTTACCCGGAAAAGGATTAAAAAAAAAAAAAAAAAGCCAACATTTTCGAGGAGATGCAACACCAACAGATGGCTCCCCGAGACAGTGGACTCGCCCGTGGAATCTGCTCCACTGGGCGTGAGCCGGCTCGCCGGCGAGGCGTGTAGAAAGTGCTGCTTGCAGACAGCGCGGCGGCGGAGAGAAAGCGACAGCAGGGAGAGCCATAGTGCTGACGTTGAAGGCCCGGCCCTGCGAGGTTGCGCCGGGTAAGCGGCGCTGGCCGGGAGGCCGGGCCGAAGAGGAAGGGAAGAGGATTCGGCGGGGGGCGGGGCCTGCGCCGCAGCGTGGCCCCTGATTGCCGGAGTGCGGCTGCCAATCTCGCGAAATCGCTGGGTTCACCAGTGCGCTGGCGCGACGCGCTCAGATATACGGAGCGAGCCCGGGGAAGCGGTCTCAGATCCTGACGGTGCAGCCGCCCGCAGCCTCAGCCAGGGAGTCCCAGCCGCTTTCAATGGAGGAGAAGCCCGGCCAGCCACAGCCTCAGCACCATCACAGCCACCACCACCCGCACCATCACCCCCAGCAGCAGCAGCAGCAGCCGCCGCACCACCACCACCATTATTATTTCTACAACCACAGCCACAACCACCACCACCACCACCATCACCAGCAGCCTCATCAATACCTGCAGCATGGCACAGAGGGCAGCCCCAAGGCCCAGCCAAAGCCGCTGAAACATGAGCAGAAACACGCCCTCCAGCAGCACCAGGAAACGCCGAAGAAGAAAACAGGTCTGTGAGGGAGGACGAGTGGGGGAAGGGGGATGGGGGTGGGGGCCAGGGGCGATGGGGGTGGGGCTGGAGCTGGAGAGCGCGGACCCGGTCGGGGCGTGGGTGTGTGTGTATGTGTGTCCGTCTCCCCCGCGGGTTTGGGGACCCCCTTTCATTTCTCCCCAAGCTCGCGCCGGGGGCTTTGCAGCGCCCTTCCCTTCCCCTCGGCGGGGGAGAGGCCCAACTAGGCCAGTGTGACCTTCCCGGCCCCCGCCCGGCTCCGGGGGACCCGGAGGGTTGGTCTTGGAGGCCTGGCCTCAGGATTCCTTTCCCGTTTACCTGCCTGCGGCCCTGGGAGCACCCTCACTTGGGGGCCCTGAGTTGGGGCGAACCTAGCCCCCCCAAACCCTTCGGGGTGGAACTCAGGAAGGCCTAGCGAATCCCGACCGTGGTGGTGTGCGAGACGCTACTGCGAGCGGCCTGCAAAGGGGAGACGGGCAGAGTTGAGGAAGTGCCCTTCCTTACCCGCCACCCCAAGCCCACCTGTGGCCTTGGGGTTCCCCGTCTGGGGTTGGGGGCGGTTGGGACCCCTCGTCTCTCGGGCCATTTCCACCCCTAGATGCCCCTTTTGGGGCCTGGGCCCCGCAATCAGCCCCCGCGGCGGCTACCGCGGCCGGCGCCCCGTGCCCGCTCCCCCCGGAGCCGGCGCGGCTGGAATGTTCTCTCCTCCTCGCGAGGCCGCTTCCTGTCCGCCATGTTGGAAGCCGATTCCTGTCACAGACTCCGGCTCGCTGAGGAGCGGAGGGGGGCCGCCGAGGGGCGCCCGGCGCGGCGGAGCCGGTGGCTCGGGGTCCCCACCCGCGATCGCTGGGCCCCTGAGCGCGGCGGGGACGCTGCCGCCCCCAGCCCGCGGCCGCCCCTCCCCCGTCGCCGGCCCGGTTGTGTAACCCGGTGGCGGCCTCGCGGCCCCGGGCGGGTCCCCGGGGTGAGGGGTGGGGGAGGGAAACGGCCACGAGGGGAGCGGCCTGTGCCGGGTCCCGCGCGCCGGCCGCCGCGTTTCCCGCTCCCGGGGGCGGCGTGAGGCGCCGGCCGGCGGTCGGGGCGGGGACCTGGTCGCGAAGCGGCGCTGAGGGGAGAGGAGAGGAGGCCGCGGCCGGCGGGCGGCGTCCGCGGCGCCCCTCGGGCCGGAGGGCTGGGGGTGGGGGGACCCACTTGGGGTAGAGGCGGTGCCTGGCGGTCGGGTGGGGTACCCAGCGGGAACCCGGCTCCCTGGTCACGAGTTTCTCTGCCACAGGAACCTCGTCTCCTGCCAGGTTCGCTCACGACTCCGCCTCGCAGGCCTTCGCTTGGGCCCTTTCCTCCTCGCAGCTCGTTTTTTACAAAAAAAGCTTGTTCTATCTTCCTCCGACCCCCACGTTTCTCTCTTGGGCTTGGGTAGCGTTTTTGAAGAGAGAATGGAAAACGTTTGATTGTCGCGGGGAGAGGGCAAGTTTCTTTCGTCCGTGAGGTGGGTTCGCTACCATATTGCCTCGGACGAGGCTTTTTTCCACAGCGAAAGGCGAGGTGTTTTCCTACGTTCAAACCGGTATTGACCCCCAAACTCTCCGTTTTTAGCAGACGTTAAATTGAGGGTAAAAGTAGTTATTGTAGAAAATATTGGAGAAGGGATGAACTTTAAAAGTTTATGACCACGCAGATTTTTAAAAATAAGGGTTCTTTGTACATTGAAGTGAAGGGAACGGAAAGGGAATGAACGTTAGACCCAGCATGTCAAATGTGATACATGCCCTTAACTGAGAGCAGGAAAGAAAAAAAAGTGCTTTTGTATTGCAGACTTAATGGGACTCGAAGACTGACATGGAAACGTCATTTTCCCTTTTGAGGGGTGGTAGGGACTGACGGTGTGCAGTGGAAATGAACATAAAAGTGTGTTTCATCTTAAGGATTTGGAACAGTTTAGAAACTAAGAAACTGTACAACACTAAGTCTTTTTTTAACGTTACAGTCAACTTAAAGACAAGATAAAATCTTGTCTTTTTGTAGTTGCTTGGAAGAGAAGGTAGTAGTATGAAGAGTATTTTGTCAGCCAGATATAGACCCCTGCAGGACTCTCCCCATAGAAGCAGGCCCTGCACCATTCAAACGGGCACCCTTCGAATTAGTGTGTCTTCTTCCAGGGGGGGGGGGACGGGGAAACGAGGCTGAGCTGTTGTGAGAGAACATGAACAATTTGGGAGGAGCAGTTTTTCATGCGCGGCCTGGTCACAGTATACTGTTGCTTCAGCATGCATAATGCTGATCTAATAAGAAAAGTTATGATTTTTGAATTGTATCTGCAACGTGTAGAGATGGGCGTTTATGGCTCACAGACCTATAAAGAGGAATGGTTTTTCTTTATCCAGAAGAGGGCGCAAAAGAGGGCCAAATGTGCCCACTAATTTCAGTTTCCAATCCAAAGCTGGATTTATCAGGACTCAAGTTTTGCTGAGTCCCTCTGAAGTAGAGTTAGATGCTTTAGCATGGCAACAACCCTGAATAATAAAAGCACTAGAAGGAGAGGGGTTTTTCCTCAATAATTTTAGTGTTTACATTTTTTTAAATACCTAAATTAAAAAAAAAATTGTCTGGCAAACTTTTTGCATACCAACAAGGTTAACATGGGAAACTTTTTAAATAGTTAAATGAGAAAGAAAGTTTCTGTCATTAAAACTTGGAGGTGGAAGCATAGGAACTATTCTTTTAACTGGTGATTTCTGATATCAGAGGCACTAAATATTAGTAATCTAGTTTGCTTGAAAGTCTTGGATTTGGTCCAACTTGGTTTGGACATTGGATTTTTTTGATGTTTAAGACTGCTTACCTTTGAGATATAGCAAGTTATAATTAATGGGCCCAAGGGTAGAAGTCTTTAAAAAATATATTTTTTATTGATTTTTTTTTTTTACAGAGAGGAAGGGAGAGGGATAGAGAGTTAGAAACATGGATCAGCTGCTTCCTGCACACCTCCTACTGGGGATGTGCCCACAACCAAGGTACATGCCCTTGACCGGAATCAAACCTGGGACCTTTCAGTCCGCAGGCCTACACTCTATCCACTGAGCCAAACAGTTAGGGCAAGGGTGGAAGTCTTTGTTAGCCTATTAGAATATTAAATGCTATGTGTAATTCTCCTTTGGTCTAGAGTTGTGCACAGGTAAACTTACATCTGTTAAAAATACTGAGACTTTCTGCTTTTCTCAAACACAAAACAAAAAACATTTAAAAAGCATTCTAAGTAATGATCTCTTCTTTACTGTTTTATAGTTAGACTTTTTACACTAAGTTTGACTTGATTGGATAATACAGCTTTTTCAGCAGCCAAGAAATAAAATATAACTCCAGAAGTTAAGAACTTCCATAGAATATATTATCATTGTACAAGTTTTGTGCCACTCTTAGGAAATGATTATGTCTTAAGTATGTTTTCTTGGAAGAAAATGCCTTTATGTGCTCATTTAAGTATTCCCACCTTTTTCTCTGATGTAGAACATGTAAAAGTAAGCCCTGTTGTGAATCTTCCAAGACTGTTCTATTAAAACATCAAGTTCTTTTAAAACAATGGTCCCCAATTATTTTTTAATCTTAGTATTCCTTATACAGTCCAACTGTGGTTCTTGAAAGTCTCCCATCTTGAACAATTTGGTTCTCAACCAATGGTCACACAAAAAAATGTCCCTGTTGTGGACAAAACTTCAGTTTTCTATTGGACAACCCTTTCTTGCTGATACCTCAGCATGACAAAAAGCATCTCTCAGGCAACAGACAAAGGAGAGAATGCTTTTGTTGCTGGCTGAATCTACAGATTAGCACAATTTTAAAACAAAGGCCATCAAGACTGCTAATGTTGCTAAGGGTGTGAAAGTGCTCACAAAACAATTACAGGCAATTGAGTAGGTAGAAAAACTTGTTGATTGGATAAACTGGTGATGGCATTTTGTAAGGATAGTTAGGGGATGGTTCAGTAAATTTAAGGAGCGTTTATAGATTAAACAGTACATTAGACATGTACTGTATATAAGAAAGGTTAATAATGGAATCATTTGGGGGGTCTGGAACAGATTAATTCAATTTACATTATTTCTAATGGGAAAAAATGATTTGGTTTTCAAACAAATCGCTTCTTGAACAGCCTTCTGAATGAATTAAATTCAAAAAATGAGGTTCCACTACTTTTTTTTTTTTTTTTTTAAGAGAGAGGAAGGTAAAGGGGGAGAGAGAAACATCAGTGAGAAACATTGATCTGCTGCCTCCCACACACACCCCCTATTTGGGATGGAGCCTACAACCCAGGCATGTGCCTTGACCACAAATTCAACTGTGAACTCTTGGTGCATGGGAAGATGCTTAATCCACTGAGCAATGCTGGCTGGGCTGTACTCTTAAAATATGCAAAGAGCTTTTAATGTGGGCTATATCTGTTGATATTATATTAGAAATTAAAACAAAATTTCAAAACCTAAGGAATATAAAAGCTCATGTGCCTTCAAAGACTAAAGGCCCAAAAGAATGAATGAAAGTGACAAAGGCAAATTATTTGGTATTCCTGTTGGAGGCCCACCCTTTGCCCCCTGTAAAATTGCTTTAAATGTGTATATATGTATCCTATTATGTATCGGTTTCTAATGACTTGACCTCAAGATGTTTTGGAAACATTTTTTAGAAAGGTAGACAATATCACTCTTTTGCTAGTAAGGAAATGGGAAAAGTTGGACTCAGTTGAATCACCTATAGTAATAAATTGCTTATGGCAGTTGGAGGTCTTAAACTCAAATACCATTCTTTTAAAAACTAGTTATCTTTCATTGTGGTTTTGATTGTATTTTCTTATTGCTTCGTTTGTGTAGGGCAGTATGACATAGTGATAGAAATGTTCCATATAGACTGGAGTTCATTCAGTTTTCCAGTTCTTCCACTTTGTGACTTGGGCAAGTTACTTAATTTATCTGAGACTGTTTACCCAAATGTAAAAATGAAGAAAATATATGTGTTTTGGTTTTATAGTAAAAGTATGATTTAATATCTGGGGAATGTAAAGATGAATTTAACTACTTTGAAAAAAGTTCACAGGTGTTAGATTTTTTTTGACAGAATGCATAGAAACTGTTTATGGTCACCACCAATCATTTATAGTTTCATAGAAATAGAGCCTTCAGTGTCCCTATAATATTTAAGATTGCTGTATCAGTATAATGATTTTGCCCAAAGGGTAGCTCTGCTCTTAATTATAAAGGAAATTTTATAACAGTCTTGTGAGAATGATGGGGAGGTTGAGTATGTTAGATGAGAGGTTTAGTAGAAAACTGCTGAAGTCATGTTCTTTCTGAACTCGGACTTTGGTTTGAATTCCTGCTTCGTCCTATCTCTTAGTTGACTTCCTAATCTATAAAATGGGGTTGACAAGTGTCTTTTCAGAGACCTGTGAAATAATATATAAAACTAAAGCTCATAGCATAGTGTCTAGCATACAGTAAGTAAATATTCCTTAAATGTTAAGTACTACTGTAATTTGTATATTATAATTTTTAAAAACCTTTTTTTCCCCCTCCCTAGGATATGGTGAACTAAATGGTAATGCTGGAGAAAGAGAAATACCTTTAAAGAACCTGGGCTCTGATGAAGCTACCACCCCTATTTCCAGGGTCCTCAATGGCAACCAACAAATTGTAGACACTAACCTGAAGCCGACTATAAAGTCCAGCACCTTTGGGAAAGCAGGAATTAAAACTAGGAATTTCATTCAGAAAAACAGTATGGACAAAAAGAATGGAAAATCATATGAAAGTAAATCTGGAGAGAACCAGTCTGTAGATAAGAGTGATACTGTAACAATTCCAAATGGTGTTGTAACAAATAATTCTGGCTATATTACTAATGGTTATATGGGCAAAGGAGCAGATAACGATGGTAGTGGATCTGAGAGCGGATATACCACTCCTAAAAAAAGGAAAGCTAGGCGCAACAGTGCCAAGGGTTGTGAAAACCTTAATTTAGTGCAGGACAAAATAATGCAACAAGAGACTAGTGTCCCAACCTTAAAACAGGGACTTGAAACTTTCAAGCCTGACTACAGTGAACAAAAGGGAAATCGAGTGGATGGTTCTAAGCCCATTTGGAAGTATGAAACTGGGCCTGGAGGAATGAGTCGAGGAAAACCTGCTGTGGGTGATATGCTGCGGAAAAGTTCTGATATTAAACCTGGTGTGAGCAGCAAAAAGTTTGATGATCGGCCTAAAGGAAAGCATGCCTCTGCTGTTGCCTCCAAAGAGGACTCGTGGACCCTATTTAAACCACCCCCAGTTTTTCCAGTGGACAATAGCAGTGCTAAAATAGTTCCTAAAATAAGTTATGCAAGTAAAGTTAAGGAAAACCTCAACAAAACTGTACAGAACTCTTCTGTGTCACCATCTTCATCTTCATCCTCTTCATCATCTGCTGGGGAAAATCAGACCCAATCTTCAAGTCGGTTATCCCAGGTTCCTATGTCAGCGCTGAAATCTGTTACTTCTGCCAACTTTTCTAATGGGCCTGTTTTAGCAGGAACTGATGCAAGTGTGTATTCTCCAGGGGGTCAGCCACTGCTAACTACTGCTGCTAATAGTATGACACTCATCTCTGCTGCGATTGATCCAGTTCTCCAGGACAAGAGTCTGACTTCAGCAGCTGTTGAACAAATTACAACTAGCCTTTTTATCTACCCTTCAAATATGCAAACTGTGCTGGTGAGCACAGCTCAAGTGGATCTACCCTCTCAGACCGATCAGCAAAACCTGGGGGATATCTTCCAGAATCAGTGGGGTTTATCATTTATAAATGAGCCCAGTGCTGGCCCTGAGACTGTTACTGGGAAGTCATCAGATCATAAAGTGATGGAGGTGACATTTCAAGGGGAATATCCTGCCACTTTGGTTTCACAGGGTGCTGAAATAATCCCCTCAGGAACTGAGCATCCTGTGTTTCCCAAGGCTTACGAGCTGGAAAAACGGACTAGTCCTCAAGTTCTGGGCAGCATTCTAAAATCTGGGACTACTAATGAGAGTGGAGCCTTATCCTTGGAGCCCAGTCATATAGGTGACCTGCAAAAAGCAGACACCAGTAGTCAAGGTGCTTTAGTGTTTCTCTCAAAGGACTACGAGGTAGAAAATCAAAATCCTCTGGCGTCTCCTACGAACACTTTGTTAGGCTCCGCCAAAGAACAGAGATACCAGAGAGGCCTAGAAAGGAATGATAGCTGGGGTTCTTTTGACCTGAGGGCTGCTATTGTATATCACACTAAAGGTAACTCATTTGTTTCCTATACAAAGATTCTTATTGGGCAATGTAATATATATTTATTAGCTGTTGTATGAAGGGTGAATTTTATAAGTTGCTATGAGAGTCTTTAAGAATTTTAGAACTTAGCTGATTGCAATGTGGATAAACAGCTGAAAACTAATTCAGAGTGTTTGGAAATAGTACAGTTCAAGTTTAGAAGAAATGTTCACTTTTCCAACTTAAGTTCTTTAAATAATTTTTTGAACAGATGTTCCCCCTCCTTTGCTTTTTACATCATATACTTCTTTATTAGTGAGCTTACTTGTTATAATTTGCTTAAAATTAGTATGAATAATGGGTGCTGAATGGTAACTAGAAAATAATTTAGACAAATTACAATGGTAAGCACAGTTAGCATTGTAGGGACCAGGCTCCTCAGAGGCTGTACTTTTCATAGCCCATGTTAAAAAGGAACCAGATATCTTTCAAGTATCATGCTAATTTTATTAGGATATGGTTTGTGTCTTAAAAATTTGATGTATGGCATAAATAGATTTATTTAAATCCACAAAGCAACTGAGGTTTAATGAAGTTTACAGCCTCAGTACTTTTAAGAACAGTAGGTTTCAGTCTTCCACCCTTCATCCCTCATCCCACCCCCAAGAAAATGCATACCCATGCATGCATGCACACACTTAATATATACTGTACGTTCCCATTAAAAAAAATTTTTTAGTTGACTTATTTTCCAATTTTTGTTGATATATAATGTTAGCTTCATGTACATTTCCTTTTAAAAAATATATATTTTTATTGATTTCAGAGAAGAAGGGAGAGGGGAAGATAGAAATATCAACAATGCCTCCTGCACACCCCCTACTGGGGATCGAGCCCACACCTGGGCATATGCCCTTGACTGGAATTGAACCCAGGACCTTTCAGTCTGCAGGCTGATGCTCTATCCTCTGAGCCAAACCAGCTAGGGCTACATTTCCTTTTTTTTTTTAAAATATATTTTATTGATTTTTTTACAGAGAGGAAGACAGAGGGATAGAGAGTTAGAAACATCGATCAGCTGCCTCCTGCACACTCCCCACTGGGTAGGTGCCCACAACCAAGGCACATGCCCCTGACCGGAATTGAACCTGGGACCCTTCAGTCCGCAGGCTGATGCTTTATCCACTGAGCCAAACCGGTTAGGGCAAGAGTTCACATCTTAAGTGAACCCAAGTCTAAGCAGTTAGTCACTGACAGAACCAAGAGTTGGACCCATAATTTTTGCCTTTTCTGTATTTATCTATACATTCTTCTGTTCATCCATTCAATCAACAAACATTTACTGAACATAGCTAACAATCATTTTGAGGTACTTTAACATTTTACTTACAGGAAGTATTTTGAACTTGGCTGGTGTGACCCAGTGGTTGGGTGTCATCTCATGGACCAAGAGGTCCCTGGTTAAATTCCGGGTCAGGGTACATGCTTCGGTTGTGGGCTCGATCTACAGTAAGGGGTGTACAGGAGGCAGCCGATCAGTGTGTCACTCTCATTGATGTTTCTTTCTCTCTCTCTCTCTCTCTCTCTCTCTCTCTCTCTCTCCCTCTCTCCCTCTCTCCCTCTCTCCCTCTCTCCCTCTCTCTCTCTCCCTCTCTCTTCCTCTCTGAAATCAATAAAAAGTACATATATTTTTTAAAAGAAGTATTTTGAAAATCCAATCATACCCCAAATTTCCGCAGCACACAATGCAGTTGCTCCTGCCTTCTAGAAACTGCAGCTGCTCTTACTGCATTAACTGTGCTCTCTATTCTCATTGTTGAGTGACACAGACATTCATGGAATGCAAAGTTCTAGTTTCAACATTTTCTTTTCTCTACCTGCACCCTCACTCTAAGTGTGCTCTTCAGTCTCTTGGTTGGAAATGTCTTCCATATATTGACTTTCAGAGCTCTTAATCTGTCCCTCCACCCCCAATCTGGTCTTTCTTCACATTCTCTATCTCAGCATGGCACCCAAATTATAGGTGCCATTCTTCATTTCTGCCTTTCCCTCATCTTCAAAACGAATACCCAAACTATAGACTTTCCTCCATCATCCTGTACCAACTCCATCACACTGAACCCCTCATCTCCCACACGAACTCTTGTTGGGGCAGCCAACAGGATCACTAGGCTTGCTTTCTTGCTGCTCTGCAATTCAATCTCCACACAGCCACCAAGGTGTATTTAAAATGTAAATCAGAAGTGGGGTTACTGGGTCAAATGGCAATTCCATATTTAAATTTTTAGAGGAAACTCCATAATGGCTGCACCAATCTGCATTCCCACCTTCCCTTTTCTCTGCATCCTTGCCAGCATTGTCATTTGTTGATTTGTTGATGGTAGCTATTCTGACAACTGTGAGGTGATAACTCATTGTTGTTTTATGCACCTCTATGTTCATAGCAGCACAATTTATAATAGCAAAGGTCTGGAAACAGCCCAAGTGCCCATCAATAGATGAGTGGGTAAAAAAGCTGTGGTACATTTACACCGTGGAATACTATGCAGCAGTAACAAAGAAGAATCTCTTACCCTTTGAGATGGGATGGAGGGACCTGGAGAGTATTATGCTAAGCAAAATAAGCCAGTCAGAGAAAGACAAGTATCACATAGTTTCACTCATATGTGGAATCTAAGTAACAAAATAAACTGAACAAAATACATCCAGAGACATAGAAGCATGGAGCAGACTGTCGAATCTCAGAGGGAAGGCGGGGATGCATGGGTGGGTGGGAAGAGCTACATTTCCTTTTTTAAAAAATGTTTTTCTTGATTTTAGAGAGGAAGGGAGAGAGCGATTGGTAGGCTGCCTCCTGCACGCCCCTCATTGGGGATTGAGCCAGCAATCCAGACACATGCCCTGACCCAGAATCGAACTCTTGGTTTATTGACTGACTAGAGGCCCATTGCACGAAGAGATTTGTGCAATAGGTCTTCCCTTCCCCTGGCTGCCGCCACCGGTTTTCCTTCGGCACCCAGGACCCAGGCCTTCGCTCCTCCTGCTGGAGCCTTCAGTCTTTGCCACTTCTCGCCTATGTATGCAGATTAACTGCCATCTTTGTTGGGTTAATTTGCATACTCTCCTGATTGGCTGGTGAGTGTAGCAGAGGGACAGTCAATTTACATGTTTGTCTATTATTAGGCAGTATGTTCAACCACTGAGCCACAGTGGCCAGGGCACATTTCCATTTTTACTGACTCATTTAGGCAGCCATGTACCAACTGCAGGGTCAGAGCAGCATACACAGGGGGGATGTGGTAATTAGCTTGTTCTCCCTGGAAGAATCACTGGCTCAGAGATGAATAACAAAGCTATTTATATGACTTTTAAGCAAGTTATTCAGTCTGCATATCTTTTCTTATCTGCAAATGGAAGACATTTAATGACATAAACAGATGTCCTTTTTCTGTTTTTCTTCCTTTAAAAAAATGGGAGCAAGTAGAATTGCCTTATAAGAGTTTAGAAGTAGAAATCTTGGCAGGTAAAATGATCTCTCTTCACTTTTCTTCAGCACTGCTCTTTGGAAGTAAATACAAGTTAACTAGCCCTGGTTAGGTAGCTCATTTGATTAGAGCTTTGACCTGATAAACCAAGGCGGTATTCCTGGTCAGGGCACATAGAAGAAGCAACCAATAAATACATGGATGAGTGGAACAACAAAGCGATATTTCTCTTTCCCTTCCTCCCTCTCTCTCAAATCAAGTTAATAAGTTAACCAGGAGCAGTATGTTTTTAGGAAAGTCAAAGGAAAAAAATATGTTTAGTTTCTTAAGATGTGGTTAATTATAAGTTAAATTCTGCCAGGGAAGTTATGTGTTTTTAGTGTTATTTTCTGTGCCATCTGCCCTTTTTAGAGACCATTACTGGGAAAATCTACCTAAGTATTTTGTACTGGTGGTCATTGTGTGAGGCTGAGTGTTATAGAGAACTGCAGGCCTTTTAAAATGCGGGTTTTAATTCCTATTTATTTCTAGGTATTCTGTATTTTCCCTATAGATACGCTAACTGAATATGAAATTAATGGTATTTAGATAAACTAAATGTCCCTATATGGATGCAGTTATATTTAGTTTAGCTGGTGTTATTGAAAGATTTGCTTTAGTAAAGTAGGCAGTTTTGATTTTTGTAGTTGGACATTATTGAGATTAAATTGGTAAAGACTGTTTTCCCCCCTATAATGATAAGCAATATTCTGTTCAATTAGATCCCAAAGTGGCAGGTTCTTTGAATTCCTGCCAATATTTTTCTATTGCTTTTAGCTAGTGGAAGTGTGGGGGAAAAGGGGAAGGGAGAAAGAGAGAGAGAACCATCGATGTTTCCATTGGTTGCTTCACACACACACCAGATAGGGACCAAGCCTGCAACCGAGAAACTGAGGAATGTGCCCTTGACTGGCAATCAAACCCAAGACCCTTTGGTGTGCAGGCCAGTCCTCTAACAACTGAGCAAACCGGCCAGGGTGAGCATCTGTATTATTTTCTTGGTCCTTTAATGTAGTCCTCAAATGCTCAAAAGTAGTCTAGTACTGAGTGAGTTGAAGTTAGGCTTAGAATTGGAAGTTTTGTGTATACCTCCTAACTTTAAAAATAAGCCCTTCAACAACTTTATTTGGAAGTAGTAGGTAGGAGGGTGCCTTATGTCAATTCAGTAGTAATGGTGCCTGTTTTAGATTTATTACTTGCAGCCTTAGAAGTACTTCTGATTATTAAAAATCTGAATGCTTAGTATAGATGAGGATATTTATTTGAAGATACATTAAGACATAAAGGGATTGATGGGAATTCTCGTTTAGGGGATTTTTCCTTTAATTTTTTATATATATTATGCTAACTTTTTAGAAATAAGACTGCTAATTTTTGTATTATCTGGGGGTATATAGTACTATTACATAGCAGTACCAGTATTTAAGGTGAGAGGTATGTCCTCTTTTCCTGTTTATCTAAAGTGATACTCAAGAGGCAAAATTTTAATGAAGTGATATCCTTTTTTTAAAATGTTTTAAACTTTTTATTGAGTTAAGAGAGGGAGAGGAAGAGGGAGAGAGAAAGTTGAACATCTATGATGAGAGAGAGAGCCTTCTGCATGCCCCCCCACTGGAGATGGAGCCTGCAACCCAGGCATGTGCCCCTTGACCAGAATCAAACCCGGGACCCTTCAATCTGCAGGCTGACGCCCCATCCACTGAGCCAAACCAGCTAGGGCTGAAGTGAAGTCTTTTTAAATTAATTATGAAAAAGTTTAAGTATACACAAACATGGAGTCAGTAATATAATGAACTCCAATGTACCCAGCTTCTAGTTTGGACATTTTATTTTTTTATTTTTATTTAATATATTTTATTGATTTTTTACAGAGAGGAAGGGAGAGAGATAGAGAGAGTTAGAAACATCGATGAGAGAGAAACATCGATCAGCTGCCTCCTGCACATCTATTGGGAATGTGCCCGCAACCCAGGTACATGCCCTTGACCGGAATCGAACCTGGGACCTTTCAGCCCGCAGGCCGACGCTCTATCCACTGAGCCAAACCGGTTTCGGCTAGTTTGGACATTTTAAAAGCATTGTCATTTTTGTTTCAACTATCTGCCTTCACACTTTTTTTGATAGGGGTTTTTAAAAGCAAATTCCAGGTATAACATTTTACTAAATACTTTGAGTATGTTAGAGTATCAACCTTTAATGAACATACAACTGTTGTCTCCTTCAAAGTAGTTACTCAGAATTCTTAGTTTAGCAAAATTCTTTGATTTGTTGTCAGTGGCTTATAACATTAGATCCTAGCTTTCTAAGGTGAATTATATATATATAATATTTTGTTTTGTTTTTTATTTCAGAGAGGGAGGGAGGGAGGGAGACAACAATGATGAGAGAGAATCTTTTTTTTAAATATATCTTTATTGATTTCAGAGAGGAAGGGAGAGGGAAAGAGAGATAGAAACATCAATAATGAGAAAGAATCATTGATTGGCTGCCTCCTGCATATCCCCCACTGGGGATAAAGCCCAAAACCCAGGCATGTGCCCTTGGCTGGAATCAAACCTGGGACCCTTTAGTCCACAGGCTGACGCTCTATCCACTGAGCCAAACCAGCCAGGGCAAGAGAGAATCTTTGATTGGCTGCCTCCTGCATGCCCACACAGGGGATTGAGCCTGCAACCCAGGCAATATGCCCTGACTGGAAATTGAACCAAGATCTGAGGGTTCATAGGTCAACACTCAACCACTGAGCTATTGCGGCCAGGCCTAAGGCAAATCTTTGGTTTTGAAATGGTCTAAGTCATTTGAAGCCAAGTCTGTTGAAATAATGGTAGATGGATGTGAGATGTGTGTTTGGTCAGTGTTAATTTAAACCAGATTGATTTCTTTTACCTGGCTAAGAATGCACTGAAGGATATCAAGCATTTAAAATGCTGTTTTTCTTGTTTTTCCTCTGTCATACTTTTCTGTCCTACTCTTTGCCACTGTTTTCTCTACTACTAAGGAGTTGTGCAATAATTTGTGTGTGTGTTTTCTTTCCCTTATGATGTACCTACCCTAGGCAAAGCACTTTGTTTAGTTATGGAAGACTTTGACAGGGTATTTTCCTTTAAAGAACTTAATGAAGTAGAGGAGAAAACAATAAGTTTATATGGTAAGATTTTAAATGTCATAAGAAGGATACAAATAGCTAGGAGATTTCAGTGAAGGAAGAGAATTTAATGCAGTGAAAGTAGAGTAAATGTATGATATGTTTTCATGGAGGCAATGGCTTTAAACTGGGTTTTGATAGGTAACATTTTTGATATGGAAATACAGAAAAGAGGAAGATAAAGAATACAAAAGTTGGAGGAGAATCATGAGTAAATGTAAATATTAGACTGGATCCATCCAGTTAGGATGTGCTGAGTAGCTCTAAAAGAGAAGGAAGGTAAGTTTTTCATTTGAATGTCAGGAAGATAGACTGGTGGAATGGAAGTAATTTAAATGACAGAAGCCAGATACTTGGGCAAATCATTTATCATATTTAAGCGTGGGTTTCCTGATTTTTATTTGTGTGGTCTGTTAATGGGGGAAAAACACATTCAAATCTGCAAAGAATAATTGTCAGTTTATTTGAGCCAAACTGTCCACAATTGCCGGGAAGCAGAATCTCAATTGGGATAATGCTCCTCGAGAATGGCGGTTTTTTCACCTTGTTTTATGCATTACAATTAAAGGAGACATAAGTGGGTTACAAGAAATCCATTGGTGGTAAATTAGGGAGGTGGGAGAATAGCAAGGTGGGAAACCTCTAGGATTAGATAAAAAGAAAAATGATAAGACACGTGCCTCTTTTACATAGGTGGGTACAGGATAGTTAACAGTCAACTATATTAACATGATAACAATAAAGGAATTTGTGGTCTCCCTCTTGCCCTGAGAGGTCCAGAGAAAGGGAGTTACAAGTTACCCTGACATTCCAGTGATAATGTTATCATAGGTGTAAAAGACAACAGACAGGCTTAGTTAAGGTAAAGATTGACTTTTGTTAGGGAAGAATCTAGCCTAGGACATGACTACCTGCCATAAACTGCTTTTAGTTAAAAAGTTTTAATTTCAGACCATCCTTTGTGGTTACTTTAGGTCTCTAGAGTTTGTTTGTAAGGCCACCACACAGGCCTTCCCTGAGCTAGTCAGGTTAGCATGTGGCCCCTTTTTGTCCACAGGTCCTACCTAACACATTACACTCAAGTGAGTTGGTATTAAGCAGTTGACTGACTTGTAGATCCGTTTTCAGAGAGATTAATGTGACACCAATTTGTAGGGTAGATTGGAAACCTTTTTTCTGGTGACTAGAAGTAGGTCAGTTAGACTCCTGGAATAGTCCAGGCAGAAAAATAACAGTTTTCTCTTTGTATTTGCAGTCATGTAAATGTATTATTTATCCTAGAATAAATATTTTATTAAAGTGTGTAGGTTGGATAAGGGCAGGAGGAACTGATTAATACTATCTACGGGATGACTATGTATACAGTTTAGACATTTGTTTACAGAAGGATCTATCTGAATATTAAGTTTTCTCCTTTTAGCACAATATTTAATATGTATTTTCATTTTTACTGCATTTTATAGCAATTGCTCCATGATTTCTTCACAGTTAATAATCTTATTAGAAAATACCTTTAATATTAGAGATTATTAATATTTTAATAATAACCTTACTTTTCCCCTAATCTCATTACCTGCAGATTTGATTTTGCTTTCAGCCCTGGTTATATTGCCTAGATTTGGGGGAGGGATGTCTTTTTCTTCTCTTAGAGACATAGGCATGTATGTAATGAGTAATTAAGATGGCATAAGATCCTTTTTTCTCCAATGAATTGCCATTTTAGCATCCATACTGGGCACTTGATTTCTCATTAAGCTTACTTTATGAGTGCAGTAGTGAATTTACTTTGGTATTAGTCTAAAAGGTAGCTTGTAAGGAATTTGTAGAAGCTAAAATTTAACCCTCAGATTTTATAAGCTTAAGTTATGAAGTTGAGGGAAGTAACCAAAGGACAACTTAAGTTTTTAGGGAGTCAAACGTTATACTCAGATTTTTGACTGCACAGGGAGTTGGTGTCCCTAATCCCCATGTTGTTCCAAGGGTCAACTGTAGTTACTTTCATTCTAAAATTTGTTTGCTTTGCCCTGACTGGTTTGGCTCAGTGGATAGCATCGGCCTGCGGACTGAAGGGTCCCAGGTTCGATTCCAGTCAAGGGCATCAAAACAAAACAAAACAAAAAAAATAAAATTTGTTTGTTTTGTTTTAAAGTAGTATGGTTGCTACTATGACTCGAGTGTAGTCCACCTTCGCTTCTACCCCTCAAAAAAGGTTATAGCATAGGTGGCTAAAATGAAAAGTTTGATTGTTACTTTTCTTCCTCAATATGTAACAATGTAGATTTATCTTTGCATTAAGCAAACTAACAGTAATGAGCATCAAATAACCTGTATACAGAACTCAGGAATTTATTTGTTGTAAAATGTGAGATTTCTGTACTTTTCACTAAAAGAAAAAATGTTGGTTGTATTGGATTAATCTTTTTGTAGTCATGTCAACCAAAGAAAGGTGTTTCTTAAGATAAGCCATTCTGAAACAGAAATTTGTAGGATAACAGTGCTATTCCTGAATGTCTGAAACTAATGGAATTATAAATTATTTTGGAGTCATAAATATGAACACCATGACCAGAATTCCCTTTGTGATGGATCTTCTTTTTTTCCAGATTAGATTGGTTACAATTCTCTCCCCTTCTTAGGCCTCGTAGGAGAGGATGGGCATCTACCTAGCAGTTTAAAGGCAATAGCATCCAGCTAAGCTCTTGAACCAAATGACGATCAGTGCATTATTTCCCAGTCTTTGTTAAATAAGAGAATTGTTGTAATACTTTTTTAAAAAATATACTTTTTATTGATTTTAGAGAGGAAGGGAGAAGGAGAGAGCGCTAGAAACATCAATGATGAGAGAGAATCATTGATTGGCTGCCTCCTGCACGGTCCCCACTGGGGATCAAGCCCGAAACCCGGGCATGTGCCCTTGACCAGAATCGAACCCGGGACCCTTCAGTCTGCAGGCCAACACTCTATCCCAGTGATGGCGAACCTATGACACACTTATCAGAGGTGACAGGCGAACTCATTTTTTTGGTTGATTTTTCTTTGTTAAATGGCATTTAAATATATAAAATAAATATCAAAAATATGTCTTTGTTTTACTATGGTTGCAAATATCAAAAAATTTCTATATGTGACACAGCACCAGAGTTAAGTTAGGGTTTTTCAAAATGCTGACACGCCAAGCTCAAAAGGTTCGCCATCACTGCTCTATCCACTGAGCCAAACCAGTTAGGTCTGTTGTAATACTTTTAATGGGCTTTTATCTGGATAATTTGATCATTGGAATAATTAACCTATTTGTTCCAAATATTCAATTCTGACAAATTTTCAAAAAGTACCAGTTTTTTAGAAGTGAGTTTGATTGGGATGGGGGTAGTGTGGGCAGTCAGGCAGGGAGAGTGTGATTCTCCTCCCATGCTCTAACACCATCCATATTCATAAAACAAAAAATAATTTTTAGAATCTATGCACCTATTTTAGCCATGGAAAAGGATTATGTTGTATCTTAACTGTAATCCATGTCCAGATATATCCTATCTTAATGAGCTCCAGTTTTGTTTTGCTTTACTATAATTGGTTGCTGATGAAAATAAAAAACAATTATACAGAATTCAGTTATAGAGCTTAAAATCACCTTTTGTCTTTTAAAAATGGTAGTTGTATGGTCACAGGAAGAGCACTTATTCCCAGTATTACTTTAGCTCACTCCTGTTTCTAAGTAGTTTTTGTTTCTATTAATCTGCTAGTATAGTATTTTCTTTCAAGGTCCAATTCTTTTTTTTTTTTTTTTTTAATTTATTAGTTTTTTACAGAGAGGAAGGGAGAGGGATAGAGAGTTAGAAACATCAATGAGAGAGAAGCATCGATCAGCTGCCTCCTGTACACCTCCTACTGGGGATGTGCCCGCAACCAAGGAACATGCCCTTGACCGGAATCGAACCTGGGACCCTTCAGTCCCCAGCCCGACGCTCTATCCAGTGAGCTAAACTGGCTAGGGCAAGGTCCAATTCTTTTTGATTCTTGTGTAATAGTCATCTACTCTTTTTTTTTTTTTTTGGATAATCCTCACCCAAGGATATTTTCCCATTGATCTTTTTTTAAAAATATATTTTATTGATTTTTTACAGAGAAGAAGGGAGAGGGGATAGAAAGTTAGAAACATTGATGAGAGAGAAACATTGATCAGCTACCTCCTGTACACCTCCCACTAGGGATGTGCCCGCAACCAAGGTACATGCCCTTGGCCAGAATCGAACCTGTGACCCTTGAGTCCACAGACCGACGCACTGAGCCAAACCGGTTAGGGCCCATTGATCTTTTTAGAAAGAGTGGAAGAGAGAGGGAAAGACAGAGAGGAACAATGAAGTGACATCGATTGGTTGCCTCTTGCACAAGCCCCAACCAGGCCTGGGTCCGGGCCTGGGAGGAGCCTACAACCAAGGTACATGCCCTTGGTTGGAATCATACCCAGAATCCTTTGGTTATTTGATAACATGAGCAGGCCCACACTCTATCCACCCGGCCAAACCGGCTAGGGCTCATCTACTCTTATTCATCAATACTTCAAATATCCTCTTGGTGAAGCTTTCTAGTATGCCTCCCAGGTAGAGCTTTTGCCTTCTTTCTGTATGTCACTTAAGTTTGGTCGTGTGTATATTTCCCTTATTGTAAGATACCAAAGTAATCACATTGTAGATAATCACATTTGAATGGAATTGGAGCAAATAAAGATTGTGTTATTAATGAATGGCTATGGATAGGCATTTTGGCCATAAGGGTTAAAATAAGTGGGTGTGGCTTAAAAAATAGAACCATTTGCTTATAGCAAAATTTAAGTAAAATTTTAATAAGGCATTTTAAGCACTAAGCTTAATCACATTTAATAAATGTTTCATTATGAAGATTTGGGGACCTTGTTGAGGGGTGATGGGTTGCCAAAAAATATCTTTTAAAAATAATAACAATGAGCTATTACAACAAATATTTTAAGCATGCTTCTACATATCTTTGCTATTTATGTAGACAAAATAGTTCTCTTGGCAGTTTGATTTTTAGATAATTAACTTTCTGTAATCAATACTTAAGGCAGCCGAAACCGGTTTGGCTCAGGGGATAGAGCGTCAGCCTGCGGACTGAAGGGTCCCAGGTTCGATTCCGGTCAAGGGCATGTACCTGGGTTGCGGGCACATCCCCAGTAGGAGATGTGCAGGAGGCAGCTGATCGATGTTTCTCTCTCATTGATGTTTCTAACTCTCTCTCTCCCTTCCTCTCTGTAAAAAATCAATAAAATATATATATATATATATATATATATATATATATATATAAGAATATAGAAAAATATGAGTTGTTTTGTCTGAGCTCCATAGAACTCAGCCAGCAATCACCAGTGTAGGTTTTTTAGAGTTCAGCATAACTTTAAAGTGCTCTGCAAAACTTAGTGTATAAAATAATTTTTTTTTTTCCTTTGCAGAAATGGAATCTGTTTGGAATTTACAGAAGCAAGGTAAGAATGTTTAGGTTATCAGAAATGTTAGTACTAATCACTATTTACTATACTTTATTTTGGAATGTGAATAACATGAATAATGGCCTACCAAATAATTAAGATTTTGTATTTTGAGTTATTTGATAACTGTAGTCAAAAGGCACTAGCAACCATATCAAGACTGCTAAGGATTGGGTAACACTAAGGGAAAAAAATATATTAAGTACTCTTTATCTGCTAGGTAAAGAACATAAATATTTTATTTTGCTCCTGATTATGAAAATAAGACAGACCATAAATATTTTTAATCTAGGAAATCAACATAAATAAGTGTTTCCACTTATGGTCAGTCTTTATCTGTACTTGTGTGGTAGACAAGTACTTGTGTGGTAGCCTAAGAACTGAAATTCATAGTTCAAAAAAATATTTGCTGTTTTAGAAACCTTATTTGGGCTGTATAGTTTCTGAAAAGATGGTTAGAAATTGAGAGAATAGAAAATTAGTTTCTTTCATCCCCATAAACAAGATATGAATAGCAGGAGGACAGGAACTAGATAATCCATATCTGGATTATTTAAAATTTTCATAAAATTGGAATTGGTTATCCTAATTAGTATGTGCCTTCTTTCCAAATATATTAAGATATGGTAGTTATAAAGTAAAGTATAGAGAACTAGTCCTAATAGGTTTGGGCCTTCAGAACCCTGTAACTGAATTGTATCTCACTGTCAGATGAATGTGAAATTCCTGGAATTTCAGAACTTGAAGGACATTAGATTTTCTTCTTATGATAGATTAAGAAACTGAGGCCCAGAGAGGTTACTGTATAAGTTAGAAAGTGGCAGGACTAGAATATAGGTTTCTCTGATTTTCTAATACTGCTCCTTCTTCCAACTTGCTCTTATTCTTAGGCCAGGTCTTTTTGGTCGTAAAACAGCTATAGCCTAAAGATAACTAGCAATCTCTTAAACTATTTTGAAACACTTTCTGTGTATCTTTATATTCAAACACATGAAAAAAGGGTAGACAAGAAAATATATCCTGCAAAAAGAGAGGTAGACCTCTCTTTTTACTGTAACATGACTATTAACTATTAAGAATGAGCATTATCTTCAGGGCAGGATGCTAGTGGATGGCCTTTGAAGTCCTAGAAAGAATATTATCTCTGGACTAAATTATTAGATTGGCTCTAAGATGAGGAGAACTTGAGTTTTTCGGTATTATTTTCAGGTCTTTATACTTTCCCATTCGGTGACAAGTTTTATTGTTTTCTATTTTTTATTAAAGCATATATACTTTATTATAAAAAGTTCTTGTGATAGGTAGAAATAATATGTAATAAAATCATTGTCTCTCAAAAGAGGGGGCATACAGCTATATAATAGGAATTTAAAATAACACTGGCATCTTGGCCAGACATATTCTGACTGTTTTATACTTTGAACCGAGCAGATCCATAGACTTTTGCTGTTTTTGAGCAAAAAGGCTAGTTATGCTATGGGAAATAAAAGTTATGATTAGGACACAACCAGCTTATCTTGAAGTTGTTGGTGGTAGGTGTTACTTGAACAATTTCTAACTATAGACAATCCACACTGGTTAAAATAAAATTTGACTTCATTATTCTGTGAACAAAAGAAAAGAAATCCAAGTGTTTTAGTATTGGGTTATTGACAATTTAAGATTTTTGTTTTGGCCTGCTTTTTTCCAATATACTACTGTTATAATCAGGAAAAACACATAAAGAAATCACTTGTTAGTAAGCTCAACTCTCATATGTAAGAGTTAAGGTTTGCATTGGCTTGACAACTCTGTTGCTGGGAATCCATTAGGATGCTGAGCTATTGGGCAGAGAAAAATGGATCATGCATGTGTTAATACAAACAGGAAATGGTCTTTAAATTGTATTTTCATTAAAAGGAGGTGCAGTTTAAATGATGATGTTTATTTTGGATTTGTTATTGGAACATGGCCATTTGATGATTCCAAACCTTATTTTTATTTATGTATTTCTTTTTTAACCTTCCCTCCAGATCCCAAAAGGATAATCACTTACAATGAAGCCATGGATAGTCCAGATCAATGAAGGACCAGACTGCCTATTTGTAACCTTTCTGCAGCATTAGAGCCACTGTTCATGGGGGACACAAGGCTTTTATGCTCCTAGATCTTCAACGCAGCAGAGGAACCATAAGTAGAATCACAGGATAATATATACAAATATATATATATACATATATATATATATATATAGTTATTTAAAAAAAAGGCAACTGAAAGTAATTAGACTTCTTAAGGAATCAAATTTATTTCAAGAGACAACACATGGTTATTTAATCTCCGGTACTGAATAGTTTTTTTTCTTTTTTCTTATGTTAGTTTTTGTTTTTAAGTGTGAATGCAAGTAATTAATGAATACAGACTTGTGGTTCTAAAGTTCCTGCTGTCATCAATTGGGCAACAAATGACCCACTGGAAAAGCAGATCCACTTAAGAGATCTCTGTATCTTATTCTGTGACTAAAGTGATACACTAATCACAGGGAACCCAGAATGAGTCAACATTTTCTCCCACTCCTCCCTTAATCTTTTGGTTATGCTTTGAGCCCTGCAAGAATGCTGGATAAATGCCTTGAAGTTTGCAGGAGTGTATTTTTTTAGCAAGTATGATTTGCATGTCTTGCCAGGAGTTAAGCAGCCTCTGTGGGGTGTTGGGGAAATATTTTCTTTCTTTTATTTTTTTGTTGGGTGGGGTTAGGGGAGGGCATTGAAGTTTTACAGTTCTGGAATAGTTGGTGGTACATAGTTCACTTGGCTTTTAGTTACATATTGGACTTTAACAAGTGAAGAATCCATGAGTGTCATTTAAAGAAAAGTAACATAACAAACAATTGGCTTTAGATATTTAATATAAAAAAATACTCCTGTGCCCATCTTTTAATGTAATTATATAAGTGGGAGCAAAAATATATTCTGCTTTTCAACTGTAGGTGCTCCAAACTTGCTCTCTGTCACTAACACTAAATGTGCTGTTTTTCTTGTTTTTCATCAAACATCTAAAGAGAAACTTCTGTACCTTTTTGTAAATTCTTTTAATTTCTCAGAAATATCCTAAAGGGAAGAAAAAATTCCATGAAAACTAAAACTTTTAATGTTTTTAGCCAGAGAGGAGATAATAAACCCTGCCAATAGGAGATGTGTTTTCATGCAAATTATACTTCTGAGCTTATTAGCTTTCTAATTATATCTTAATAAATATATTTTATTACTAGAGCAAAATGGGTTTTTTTAAGAAATAATGTGAAACTCTGGAAATTTTCTTTTGGGCAGAGAAGAGCATTGACCCTGTCTTATCACATTGCCATCTTGTTGCACTGCAGCTTGTATATAGCATGCTAAAATAAGTTTTTTTGTGTGTGCAGAAACAAAGGGTCCAATTTAAGATTGGGTGATGTTAGTGGCATAAAAACAAGTTCTCTGGCCTGATATAGCATCACATTACACACACAGAAATTAGTATATCCATGTATGGCAGATACAGGTTAAAATAGCAGGGCATTTCTATAGAGAGGTGTAGTCTTCTAATAAAAGTAGACTGGATACCCTGGGTTGTTCAGGGAGAAAGCAACTACTTTTGCTCAACCCTGTTGATTAAGAAATGTCCAGTTTTGAGCGACTGTAGTATGGATGAGTTTTCTTGTTTTGTTGACTATTTGAGGCTTTTAAGTAGTTTTTGAAAGAAGCTATTGGACTCAACATAGAATAAATATCTTTATAGTCTGGATTTCTGCCCTGCTTAGATTTTAAAAGTATAAGCATGGATTGCCAATTCCACTTGATGTAAACAAAACTTTTTATACATAATATATATATATATATATATATGTATGTGTGTGTGTGTATATATATATATGTGTGTGTGTACATATATACATATATATATATAATAACTTATTGTATCAGTCCAGGTTCAGAAACTTGTGATAGGCCAGTTTCAGATAGTTTCATTTCACCTGTAAACTGTATCACTTTTACTGATATTGTAATTTTTAAATGTATAATATGTTTACAGATGTGCCCTGCATTTAGTCTGCCTTGTTCCCATTTTGATTTTTGTTGAGTCTCCTGCCTGCTTGCCAAAAGCTAGGATGCTTCAGGCCCATGTACAATTGAAAGCAGAAGCATCCTTGAGCTTTAAAGCATTGAACAAACTGGAAATGCAATGAAGTGAAAGAAGTCTGTGTTTTTGTGTTCTTTTTTTAATAAAAATTTTCAAAAAGTTTTTTTAAAAAACTATATAAGGTTGATTAAAGGAAAAAAGGCTCCAGTTTGTTTTACAGGTTTTAAAGTTCTGCTGTGTGTTCAATTGCCTTGTGTAACCACTTGTCGCCTTAGGGCCAGATTCCACCCCCACCCTCCCATGTCTCCTTCCTTTTTTTTAAATTTCCATTTTGCTTGCCTGGAATTTTAAAGCTCTTTTGTCACAACTCACAGGAAACTTTCTGGGTTTGTGACATACAGAGGTTGAATTAATATACATTTAAAAAGAAAAAAAAATCCCAAACCAGTCCCCATCTGAATTGGGCTTTTAAATTTAGAAGCAACACTTATAAAATATTTCTAGGAAATTGTTGCTTTCCTATTTCCCTTCCATATCCCTCAGGCCTCCATGTTTAGAGAAGCCAAAAAGAGAATGTATCCCTTCTGTTTGTCCAAAGGTTTTTCAGAGTCTCACATCTAATGAGACAATGCAACATTTCATTTTGATTTCACTGAAATTTCCTTGAGTATATGGTTAGAGGTATATAGTTAGAAATATCTCTTAACCTTCTGGTAACCCTAGTGCCCCATCATATTAACTGACAGTATTTTGGGGGCATTGGGTTAATGGACTTAATTGCTTAGGTACAAGCAGGACTTTGGGACAAATTTCCTTTGTGCTGTTTGGTAACACTTAACTCTCTACTTGTCGCAATCTTTCTCCTTAGGTCCTCACACAATTCCTTACAGAGCACTTATTAAAAAAAAATCTTAAGAGTTGATCTGTTTTCTCATTATTTTTGTGTAAGCTTCTAAAAAAACTTCAGCTGTGATTAATTTAGCACATTTAAATAACATTAATGTGTTATTGTTTGGTATAAAGAATTTTCCTTCAACTCAGAGTATTAGTACTGTAGCATAAACCAAATACAGTCTAGAGGGGATTTTTAACATCCCTCCATTATAAAGACTGCAAATGGGGTGTGTGTGTGTGTATGTGTGTGTTGACTGCTTGTGTGTGTGAGAGGGAAAGAAGGAGATATTAAAAGTTAGTAGACAAGTGTGTGTAAGACATTAGTATTCAGAGAATGAACTTCTATTTATTTTGTGCCATTTGTTTTCATTACAGAATAAAGTCAGGTGGTTTTAATCCTTTAAGGGGTAGTGTTTGAAAAATGGCACTAAGAATGAAATCATGACCTATTTTTTTAATAGCTATGAAGATACTAATTATGGGTGAAGATTTCTTTTTAAAATCTGTCTTGATTATAGGCTTTTGTGTCACATACCACTCTCTTGTAGATGTCTTGAATAATTCCCCCTCCCCACAAAAGACAGGGTGTGTTTATCTTTCTCTTTATTCACTCCCACTTTGCTGAACTGAAGATAATTGCATAGCCTTTCCTCTGACCTCCTAATAATGAACTTTCACATAAAGTGTATTTACAGCATCTGTAGTTAGCCCTTTCTCCTCTGCCTTTGAGGAGGCCATAGAAAATAACTAGGAATTTGTTAATGCCAAATAGTTTTTTTCTTGAAATAAATGGCTGGAAAGATTCCATTTTAGAATTTTGTTGTTAATCACCTGCTTACCTAGTCATCACTCAGAATCTATAAAAGCTTTATAAAGGAAAGAAGTGCTGCATTGTTTTCTTCAAATAACAGTTTCTAGGGAAAGTATTGCAAACCTCAATTATGAATGTTGTCCACAATACAATATGTGTTTATTCACAAAGCAGTACATAGCAGTGGTGGTTTCATCCTTAGTCATTAGGTTTGTTGCTAACCTAATTAGAGGGATCTAATAATGGTTTATCTTTTGCTGTACACTTTTTCAAACATGAAAAAGCCATTTAGTGTGAAATTGTATGTTACATACCAAAAGGCCACAGGCAAAGAAATCTGTAAGAGGACTGTACTTGATTCTAAATTCCACTAAATAAGGAGTCATTCTTTCAAGGCTTTCTTTAGAGAAATAGATTAAAAGTCTCATTTACAAGGATTATGAGTGTAGTTATGCCACTGGACCATATTCTCAAATAACATGATCCCTCTTGTATACCTATGCTAACTGCAAAACAGACACTATAGTGGGAAAAACACACATTTGGACAATAGTTTTTATAATAGGTCTGTTGGCCTGCACCAGTTGAATTAGATTCTAATCAAGCATTGTCTCTTAAGTCCTAGGTGGTACTGCTGAATTTTAAAAGAAAGGGTAGGATTTGCTTAACTTCCCAAAGTATACATATTTGTTTAAAGGGGATGGGCAAAGGACAAGACTAGAAGTATAGCTGCTCAAAGTTTGCAGAGACACATAGGTTATCAGTTCTTAATATTGATGTTATTTTTATTAATGTGATTAACAGGCACCAGGATTCTTTTATGGTGAGAAAGATGGGCTTTTGCTTTAAGTATCATAAAATGTGTGTGTTTTTTTTAATATACTTACATCTGTTCAGATGTGAGAAACAGGACCACCCTATGTTGGTTTTTTAAATGATGAATCATTGGCTCCACTCAAAAGCAGTGCTTTAATGTGTTTTAAATTAAACTTCACAGTTTTGCTACTCAAGAGTCTTATGAATAAATAGTGTTTCAAGTTGTATGCATAATAAAAACACCCAGTGAAGCATGAGTGGTATGTTGATTTTTGCATTACTGGGAGTGTCAGCAGTTCTTGGCTAGAAGCCTATGGAACAGCCATCCTCACATGTGATGGGATTGCTGATTCAGACTTCCCTATTTATCCATACAATTGTGTATGTCCAGAGTTTTAAAGCCATTTTATAATACTGCAGTATCCCTTTTCTACAGCCTTATTAAAATAGTTACAAATGTGTTTTTTCCCAGTGCAGTATCCCTTTCATTGTATATCAGTTTTACTCCACAGACCAATAAACCAACTTGAGGTAAATTATATAGCTTTCCATATACCCTTTTTCCTCAGGTGCTAAACAAAGGCTCCAAAAATGGATACTGCTTTAGTAATGTCTGCTTTATTTTTAAAGTATTTCTTTTGCTAGATATAAAGATTTGGTGTTAACAAAATGATTTTAATATGTAAATATGAATGAATGCCTCTAGTTTGCCCCTGTTTGTCTGTTATTAGTCTGTTTCATTTATCCTTTAAGAGGAGGATCCTTTCATGATCTTGAATACATTTCATTAGGTATGTTGCATTTTTAGAATGAAAATACAACTGTTTATCTGTCTCGGATTAATCCTGCTGCTGCTATGAGAAACTGAAAATCAAAAATGTGATGCACTTTTTACATTACAACATACCATACCTTTATAGGTTGTTTTGATACCTTTCCTGTAGCACAGCCAGTAACAAAAGCGAATGAATTTTAAAATTCTCTTTGGGAGGGAATCAGTACAATTAACTTTGTGGTATTGGCCTATGAAGGACAATAACGTAGGAAAAGAAAAATTCTGTTAGTATTACACTTTTTGGCCTTAAAATGTCTTCTACTACTGAAAAATCCTTTAAACTTAGTTTTGTTTCTATTATTTCCTCTCTCTGCCTCAAAAGGAGGATTTAGGAAGAATGGCTTAAGGGGAGTAGTATTGGTTTGTTGCTGATTTCTCTTTTAGAAAGAAAATGTCTACTATATAAGCTGAGGACTTAATTTTTTGTTTGTATACAGAAGAGAAATAAGGCTGCCCCATGCCAGTCGATTTAGTTTAATTAAATCAATTAGAACTCCCAACTATTCTGCTTCTCTAGTATATTTTTACTTGGCAAAGATAAACAAGTATAGTAGGAATGCTACTTGACAAGAGAAAAGTCATTTCTCAAGCACATACCCAAACTTGAAGATTGAACCCAAAATAGGAGGAAAAAACACCAAATGGGGTGGAGGAATATGAGAAAGATATGTGGTCCAAAGCTATCTGGTTATATTTTGATGTTGCCAATATTGCAAAGCCAAATTTTAATTTGCTTATTTAATATATTTCTTGGCCAGAGATCTATTTTTATATCAATGTGCCTTGCATGTGTATTAAAAAAATAAATAAATTGGAAAGGCCATGTAGTAATGCCTGAGATGGTTGATGGTTCTTACCACCTCACTAATTTTTATGCAGTATGAAATGCTCATTCTATCGCCCAACTGGTGCTCTCTGTTTAAAGTTATAGATCTTGTCACAAACTGGAACTATTTTATAAACTGGGGAAGTGATTTAATTTACTTTTATTGTTTCTTTTGTTTGTTCTTAGTCTGTTAGTGGCTGTTCTAGTAGTGGGAAATAGTAAAAGAACTCTTCACTCCCTTTCCCTCCTTCCTTAGCACCTTCTTCGAGTAATGTGATGACACCATTTCTTGTGTGCTTTGAAAAGTTTCAGCTTGCTGTTTCCTTTAGTGTTATTTAAAAAAAAAAAGTGTTATAAAAAGCATTGTTTGAAAAATCTAGGGAGATAACAGTCCGCTTTAATTTGGAATTCTATGTGAGCTATGATCCAAGTTATTGGCTCTTTCCAACTTTAAAATTTTTTTACTGTTAAAGCACCTTGCTTAGAAAAATTTAAATACTTATGTCTGCAACAATTGTCTCAAAATAATGAACTGTGCAATTCTTGTCATTAAAAAAACTCTCCCTAATGTGACTTGTTAGTTTCTCTGTATTTCTTGCCAGTGTAAATGTGAAAAGCTTTGCTTGCATTACGTTTTAGAAATGCATTTTGCACACTCGAATTTTGCCGAAGCTCCATGAAAAGGTTAGATCTAAGTAGATGAATAAAGCTATGCACATGTTTTGAATTTTAATTTGTGTGTCATTACCCAAAGTGACTTATCCTTATTACTTTGCTGTTCTTAGCTTCACCATTTTTAGAAACATGGCTCAAAATTATAGTACTGGGCTAGCTTATCAGTAGAAGCAAAAGAGAGGAAAACTGGCACCTGTTTTAGTAAACTTCAGTTTAAATGAGAGCTTGACTTGTATCTACTAAAGGGCTTTTCTTGAAACAGGGCATTTTTATCAGTTGTATAAATTGTTGGATGCTCTTACTTCCTCAGTGAAATTTTTGGTTTATTTGATCAAATAAAAATGGGAAGTAATTCAAACTGAAATGAAGGAAGGAGCTTATGCCACATGGAGTTCTGTGATAATTTTATGACTTAAACCTGGTTTAAAGGTGTAGGATGACCTATTACCTTTATGACTAGCATAAATTTGGCTTAATGAATGAATGATTGACTTGAAATTAGAATCATTATCTTGCTTAAATATCTAAGCACAGGTTGTCTTAAAGATAATGTGTATCTTTTTAAAATTATCCAAGCTGATTAGAACAAGTTTAGAATTTGGTTAAATTGCTGCAGTTTGCATGTACTAAATAAATAGCTTTATTTCACATGTATGTGTACTTAAAAGATTCTGTAGATTTACTGGCCAGGTTTTGTCAGTCATCTTTTAAAAGATTGTTTTGTAATCTCTCCAGGACCTTTGTAGAAGAGGCTAATAAGTTTAAGTAGAAGATAATACTAATGGTATTTTCCCCATGCTTCTAGATACAAAAGAAATCCTTGTTTTATAGTTTTTAATTATGTATAGAAGAGTGTTACTTCTCTGTCATCAAGTGTGCTCTTGATGTATTATTGTTGACTTGGAAAACACAGCAGAACCCTTCTGTATCTTCACTGAAAGTGACAGAAACGAAGTCTACTAGTCAAGACTCAAAAGGTGGCCGATAATGCACGGCCTCAGAAGGCATAAATGCAGGAGTGTAGCATCATCTTAGATGGCTCTGGCTTCTCAGCATCTGTCAGTAGTTTACTTATGTTCAGTCTTGTGTGCATCATCATTTAGGAGCTGAGTTACCTCAATCTGGGGGAAAGGATAATTAATGAACTACAATTATATTAGAGGATGTTTTCCTTCTCCCAATTCAAGACTTTTTTTTTTTTCCCCCCACTGTTTGTTTTGCCCAGTCAAAAAGATAGGCCTTTTCTAGGTAAAAGAATAGTGGCCAGAAATTTATCCTTTTGCTAAATGCTTAGGTATTTGCCATAGCTGTTTCTGATAAGGATTCTGAAGAAGTGTCAGTTACGTAATGATCTTCCTTTATTGATGTCTTACTTCATGTTCAGTGTTTTAAAAATATAAATTACAAACACTCTACATCCATACCAAGATTTACTTATTTTATCAGAAAAAAACTTGAGAACTTTGTAGATCCAATTAAGAGACAATAAGTGTACATGGTTGAATAAAAAAATTTTAAAGTTTTCTGAGGTGTTTGTGTTATATATTGTGTGCTTAACAAAAATTACTGAAAACTAAGTTAATATTGTGACATTGATGATATATTTCCAAAAGATGAAATGTACAAACTTAAGTCTTAAATGTACTGTGGTCTTATGTCATGGCATTTTTAAATATCCAGATTATTAAGGTGCTTAAAAATGGCATATTTATTGAAAAATCAGCTGTGAGGACAGCTGTCCTGTCTTTTTGCATGACATTGAGCCTTAAAGTATGAAACCGAAGTTGAGCTAAGCAATTAAGCAACCAAAATAAGCTGCCAAGACTGGATTATTCATAACTTTATGTAGAAATATATGCTAATGCATTATTTAAGAAATTTCCTACGTTTGTTTTGCATTGATTTGTCACCAAGTTGAAAAAAAAAATCAATGCTGACATCAACATTATTAGGGTAGGGGATGAGGAGAAAATATGCAGAAACACTTAACAAAAGTGTGTTTGTCACTGCATAGACTGGTACGTTTGGGTTATATGCTTGAATGTTGTTTGACATTGGGAATACTTGTGGTTGTGCTGGTAAGTGACTTCCAAGGACACAGAAGGAAATCTGGGGTTTTATAGAAACTTGTTTCTAAAAATTTGCAGCCATTTAAGTATGATTTATATAAAGCACACTAGTTAATTCATTTTTTAAATGACATTTATTGTGGATTTCAGCAGCTAACATTTGTAAGCAGTGTCTGAGCAGAACATAAAGCTCATTCTAGATTGCTTAGCAAGGTTGTCTCATGCTTGAGGAATTCTCTTGGAGCTTTTAATCCACTACTGTTGGATACGGCGGATTGATTGAATCTGGGAAGTCTGGGCATGAGAACCCCACTCTCTCCAATGTTTATAGTCTCCTCCATGATGGTCACATTCCAAGATATACTGATAGCCATGGTACCCAGGATACTGGTAGCAAACCCAGCTAGAAAATCCAGAAGCACATAGGCCTATTAAAACCTAATTAGGAACTGGTCAATACTTCAAAACAGCCTCTTTCCTCAACACAATTGGTATGGAATACTTTTAGGCCTAGAAAATGTTAGGAGCCATTTGTAAGTAATGGCTATACTTAATTAAAAATTAACCTTGATCATGAAAAAAGGTATGGGTAGTCAACAAATTATTCCATAGACTCTAGGGGAGTCTCAGGGAAAGAAAAGCTGACCTGAAGTTGGTACCAAGATTTTGAGGTTCAAAATTATAAGTAACTAGACTGTTACAGCCATATCAATATGATGCCAATATATGAAATTTGATAAGACACAATCACTGCTATGTTAATAGTCTCACGATTTACAGCTGTGAGAGTTACTTTGGAATGTGCTCCAACACTCTTTTTGCACTTACGCCCCACATTGTATCTTCATGGAACCAACTTCGTTGTTGAACCAACCCATGGCTTGCAAAGAGGGGTAGTCATCACAGATCTCCCATTGGCGTCCAATAAAGTTTTCTTTCTCAAAGATGGTAATTTTGGACTCCTTATGATTCTGTAATCCAAAATTTTTTTAAAGTTTAGTACTAGTGTTATGGCTATCTTAATTTTGTAGTTGCCATGTTTTTCAAAATCATAAAACTCCTGGTTTACACAAAGAAGTACATGATCATTGAGGTCAAAATATTTCAAGTAGTTTTTTATAAGAAAAAATTTACCCATAATCCTGTTTAATCCAGTTTAATACCATCTAGTCTAATAGACAAACATGGTAATTGACTGTACCTTCGCTACGCCTCCCATGGGCTAATCAGCGTGATATGCAAATTAACCAACAAAGATGGCTAATTTGCATAATCTAGGCAGATCCCGCTGCGCCGCCGCGCCTGGAGCTGGTGGCAGCTCAATCCCCAGCTGCTGCCTGCCCCAGTGCAGGATTCAGGCCTGCAGTGTCTTGGGTGGGGTAGGCGGGGCGGGGCGGGCGGCAGCACAATCTGAGCAGCTGCCCGTCCCATCGCAGGCTCCGGGCCTGCCATCTGCGACTGGGGAAGACGGGGCAGACACTGCGGGATTGGGCGTGCCATCTGCCACCAGAGGTGCGGGCCTAAGCCAGCAGGTGGTTATCTCCCGAGGGGTCCCAGACTGTGAGAGGGCACAGGTTGGGCTGAGGGACCCCCTCCCCTGCCAGTGCACAAATTTTTGTGCACAGGGCTTCTAGTCTATAATAAAAGCGTAATATGCTAATTAGACCAGACAGCTGAACAGCCTTCTGGATGTCCTTTAGGACAACCTTCCAGACGAAGCCAGGGCTGCGAGGGCTGAGCCCTTTGCACAAATTTTGTGCACCGGGCCTCCAGTAACATTTGAAATGTATAAATAACCGGTACTATACTTTGAAACAACAAAAGACTAATGAAAATATAACAGCAGGGAAAAAAACACTTGCAACACACAGCCAACCAAGGGATTAATATTCATTAATGTGGAAAAAGATCCCACAAATTAATAAGGAAAGTAAACATGTGTGCGTGGTGTTGGAAATAATCCAGAAGTCCAGTAGGGGATGTGAACACTACACAAGCATTTCTTAATGCAAAGACTAACCTGTATGAAGTACGAAAACAGCCAAAATTAGCTCTGGTGATAGAATTTGGGGAGGAGCAATTGATTAGAAAGGGACACCGGGAGCTTTATGAGGTGATCGAATTGTTTTATATTTGAGTAGGGTATTGGTTTCTTGGGTGTACATATTTTTTAAAATGCATCAGAGTATACACAGGAAAAATGCAGAGTTAAAATGAGATGCAAACATCCAGATAAGGTAGTATATTTTAGATCTATAACTTTAGGTTACCTTCTTTACTACTTGAATTTCAGTAGGATTTTAAACTAAGGTGAGATCATTAATTAAAATCATGAGAAAAAAAATCACATGATATAGACAAATAATTGGAAAGGTTGTAGCTCAGTCTCACTCTTCCCAATATAAGGATCATTTTCAACAAACTGTTGAAGATTATCCTGCGTCTACTTGAATTCCCAAAGACTGGGAAGTATCCTAGTCTGATGCAGAATTGAATAATGCTTAGTATTAAAAACCAGAAGGTTATGAATCAAAGATAAAAGACTGGAAAATTTATCTGTTTCTTCAGTTATCCCACTTATTGAAAGGTCACGTTAGTACTTCCCTTTTTCTGGGTAAAATGTTATACAGATTGAATTTTAACTGGCTAAGGATTTACTTTTTTACTATAAGGCTCTCACTAGTACCCCATTGCACTTGTTGAAGATCTGGGCTCTTGAGTATCCACTTCCTGCCACCTATAAATACTAAGGCATTTACTTTTAGCTTAATGAAAGTACTATCTAGTAAATAAAAATCAAATGGCAAACTTAGAACAGAGAGACCAGTGGTTTTTCTTCTCTCTTTTACTTTTCTCTTTCTTCCTGCCACATTTCAGCATAACTGATGAGAAGTAACATGTGTGTCAGTCCATGTGCACCCTCTCTTGCCCCATTCCCCACAGGCACAGAAGTAAAAATTTCAGAGACTCACAGCTGAACAGATGGGGCGGAAGGACATGAGGCGCTCAATGTGGTAGGCATTGCTCCCACTCCAGGCATCCCAGCGAGGGTATTCTCCTCTCTCCAGGATAAACTGTTGCCCACAGAAGCTGGTATGCTCATAACCAATCCAGCTGCCAAAGACAATTAGTGGCATTTGCTCCTGGTTTTCAGAGTCTACGTGGCCTCAGGGAGAAGGCATTTTTGTTTTAGATGTTAATAGTGGAGTAAAATATCAAGCCAATTCTAACAAAGCCATACAAAAGAATACATTTACCACACGAGGTGGGAAATGAGCTGGCAGCCGCATTAAGCAGGTTTATAAATGTAGCATTTATTTTGGGATTATCCACTGAAAGGATCTACTTCACTCGTCTGAGTAATGTGTATTAGCAAAGTCAGTCTAAAGTTATATTTCCTTTTTTTCCTAGTTACCTTATTCTCTACTTGGAGCTCCAGGTTCAGGATAAAGTGACTGACTATTGCTTTGGCTCCAGCCAAACCTATTAGCTTCTTCCTAAGGAAGCAAAGGGTTGGACAGGCAACTGATGGATTACAGTCTCTTGTTTCCTTGTCACTTTGTGGGTTCTTTCTCCTGCTGTTGCATACCCATACCTTATTAAAAGACCCCTCAGATCATATTTTCACAACCAGGTTCCAGTTACTGACAATATCTTAAAGTATTATTCCTTTTAAGAAGTTAAAAAGCTCAATTTTGGTGGTGAGCAACTGCCTAGGCCAAATGAGAGTCCTTTCCTTATGTGTTTTCAAACTGATAATAAAGGCCTCGACTATCTTGCCAAGCGTCAGAAGACAAAACAAGAGAAGGTCTTCCTCACCGAAGAGATTAACCATCAACCAGAAACTCCTGGACGACTAAATATGAACCAACATGACTCTCAAGTGCTGTGGTTGAGTTCCTTTTTACACAGAGAAATTAGTGATGTCTGCTCTCTCTCTGGGACATACAGGAGGGGAGTTGGTTGTAAAGAGGCTGCAGCTTGGCTGTTTTTTCTCTATTTTCTGCAGGCAAAAAAAACTCAAGGGTCCTGGGCTGTTGTGAAGGGAATCCTAGGTAGCAGCCTATGGGGTCCAGAAGCATAGATCTGATTACTGTCACTGCCCCAACCCATTATATATATTTCTTTCTCTCTTCCTCCCTCCCTCCCTCCCGTCCTTCCTTCCTTCTTTCCTTCCTCCCTCCCTCCCTCCCTCCCTTCCTTCCTTCCTTCCTTCCTTCCTTCCTTCCTTCCTTCCTTCCTTCCTTCCTTCCTTCCTTCCTTCCTCTTAATCCTCACCCGAAGATATTTTTCCATTGATTTTTAGAGAGAGTAGAAGGAAGGGGGGGGGAGAGAGAGAGAAACATTGATGTGAGAGTGACACATCGATGGTTGCCTTTGGCATGCACTCCCGACCAGGATGGAGCCTGAACCCAGGTATGTGCTCTTGACTGGAACAAATCCTCCCTTTAGTC